ACCGAGAGTCATGAGGAAAAAGCCTGATACGTGAAGCATCTTGTACTTGCCCCATTTTGAGAGAACGACTGCAGAGAGCGCTGCGCCTGGGATGGCGATGAGAGCAACGGGGAGCATTTGTACTCCTGATCGTGAAGGTGTTGATAACTTGACGGCTTGGAAGTACAATGGCAGGAAGAAGTAACACCATTGGATCAACAACATGTTCAGAAACGTGTTGATATAGACGATGTATGATGTGCGGCCTGGGAATAGGCGAATGGGCATGACAGGTTCCGAGGGAATTCCCGAGGCTTCATATATAACGAAACCGACAAGGCCAAGGAGACCGATTATCAGGGGAGCTAGGATTCGAGCATCGGACCAAGGATGAACTGGACCTGCCCAAGTAAGGGCAATGAGAATCGAGACGCTCGATGCGATGAGAATAGCGTTGCCAACGTAGTCGATACGACGGAGTTTATCCATGGTCGACTGAGTTCGATCGTATTGGAGGTTGAGGAAGAAGTATGTGACGACGATAGCAACACCTCCGATGGGAAGATTGAGGTAGAATACCTAACGAGTCAGTATAAGTCGGCAGATGCTGTTGATCTACTTACCCATCTCCAAGTCGTGTTCTCTACGATAACACCACCAAGAAATGGCCCAACAGCGAATCCAATAGTGGCCACCAGGAGAAGTATAGCGATGTAGTTCCCTCTATATCGAAGCGGTACCAGATCAGAGATGATCACATCATTAACCATGGTGACGCCGCCACTACCAATACCCTGAATAGCACGTCCAGCGATGAGCATTGCGCCGCCGTTGGCACCACCTGCGATTCCACTTCCGAGTGTGTATGTAGCAAAAATGAACATCATGACTTTTTTGCGGCCCCAGAGATTGCAGAGTTGGCCAAACAGGGGCTGGACACAAGCTCTGTATCATGCATGTCAGCCATGTACTGTATTGTGATATGAGGGGTAACTTACGTGGTGAGGAAGAAGACATTGGTAACCCAGATGTAACTACTTCCAAGATTGAGACTCTCGATGATTGTTGGGAGAGAAGTGATGACGACTGTTGCTTCGAGAGATGCGAGGAGGGTAGCGAGGACCAAAGTAACCATGATCATCCAGAAGCGATAATCTCTATTGAAAGCTGGCTTCGTCTTTGTAGTCACTGGTGTTTGAGCTTCTTCTTCATCTTGAGCTGTTTTAGTTTGGTCTGACGAGTTGATGGAGGGTGGCGATGAGAGTGTCTGGTTAGTTGCTTCATCCTTGTGAGGCGATTCAGTATCTTTCATTTCCGCAGAAGCCATGATGATCACTGCACAGACAGTCTGTTTGCCTCGCTGATATCGTCACATTATTAGAGGAAGAATACCAATTTATAAGAGAAATCCTCTCAACTCATCAAGTAATATATGTTGGGAAAGCCGGAGGCTTTATAGAATAAACTCCGACTCCTACGGGAAACTAATTGCTGACGCTTTCTTCAAATGCTCCGTGGAATGAGCTTTTTTAACTAAGCTAAATTATACACGGTAGCTTGTCTAATATCCTATTGCTTGAGGTTGGCTTACGTTCGGATGCTTTTAACAGGAGTAAGCCTCCGTCCTATGGGAAGCGGCAAATGTTGCACCCCGTCTTACCTCCAGTCTAAGGATGTTATGATTTTGGCTATTGAAAAGACAAACCTATTATCTATTAAACAAGTATAAGTATAAACTCGAGATAATTATACTAGCTGTTAAGAGTTGTATATCGATTTTCATCCGAACCTCGATTTGCAGCAATTGATACATGACCAAGTAAAAAGAAAAGACGAAGAAGATAACAAGTAAACGACAAAAAATACCAATCGACGCAGGCCTGATTCGAACAGACGCCTCCGAGGAGAATAGATTTCTAGTCTATCGCATTAGACCACTCTGCCACTGCGCCTTCTTATTGGATAAACTCTGTAGGTGTAGGGTAGTATAAGTAGCCCGGACTATTAAGAACAAGACGTGCCATTAATACTTTATTCACAACAATCACCATAGGAGATACAAATGCTAGGTTGCTTTATATTTAATGGTATGGCTTAATACTATATAGTATCCTCATTAACTCTTCTTAATTTATTCTGGTTTAAAGTATCTGATCGTGTGTAGATACTGGTATTTGAAAGAGACGGTTCGTCAATCACGCTCCCTTCCGACACCAAGCAAAACACCTCGGTAATTAACCATGTGCTTGAGAGAATGGCAAGCTCTCAGACCCCCCGATCGGCTCTATATGATCTGGTCGACACAAAAGAGTCAAAAGATCAAGGGACTGGCCATAAGACGATGTGATCTTTTGGGAAGATGGTTATGTTAGTGCGCCAGGTAACACACTCGATGGAGACGTCCTTGAACTTGAGCTTGTTGTTGTCGATGCTGGCTTCTAGGTTTGGCCAGTAGGTCTCTCCCGAGTCATCTGTGATGGTTGGTTCATCGTTCGGAATGCTGCACCACATCGGCCACGATCTTGGGCGCCCGGTTTGCGCGAGCCGTTCTCTCTAGGAATGACCTTTTGCTGCCTCTAGCCCTGTAATGGAGAGTTGAGAATGGATGTATATATACTCCTGACCTCCGGTTGTGCAAGATATACTTGACCCCTTTCTAACTATCAAAGAGAGCTTTGACTTGCGAAGAGAACACAATGGTCGATCCACCGATGGATGTCAAGCACCACTTGTTGAGTTACCATTTTTGTCTTCATATCCGCCGAGACCTTGTTGAAGATTTCTGTCGCAAACATGATCTTCATGTATCTTTTCATATACGCATTATCGCACTGTAGATACCATAGATGATCGCCATGTCAATGAACTTGAACACGCCAGTCTGCCAAGTAGCGCCGGAAGTCACCTGGCCTGACGCGTGGAGGCCGAGTAAAATTGTCGTTGTACTTGTGGTCCGTCTCTTTGGTACCGCGAGGCTCCATCTTGCCTTTCTGCTCGGAAGCAGGTTAATAATTCCCAGTCTTGGTAGCAATGTGTTGCTTCCCTGTGTGGAAATAAGATCTTTCTGCTTGCGTGATTAACTGAGAGCCGAACCACGGCAAGCTTCAACACAACAACGATATCCATGCGTGAAGCTTGGCACGACCCCGGAAGTATAGCACGGTAGAGGCCATCCAGACCGATAATGGAAGTTGTTGATAGGCATTGGCTGTGTATAATTCCTTATATGAGCTGCCAAGGGATTCCTATGGCTTCGAAGTTTTGCGAGGCAGCGCGGTTGAGGCCCCACGAATCGCTGTTTGGCCGTCTCAAGGGCATTATGGACCGGCCAACCCTGCAAGCCCCTTCTTTTCGACAGTTCAGGTAATGGCAGCCTAGTGTAGTGTCGATATCACACGCCTCCCCATACTCCTTCCTTCCACAAGAGTCACAATGCTTATCCTCATACGTTTGAGGATCGCCAACGCATTTTTTGCTCGAAGTGGATTAAGGGCGTTACATGGCCTGGAACCTGGCACTTATGGCCGTCTTTTTGGGGCGATGACTATTAGTTTACCCCCTAGAGGAGGATGGCCTTGGTCTTTGCGCATTGTCTTATACCTGCCTAGGGCTATAACTGCCCCCGCGCGTGTAGCTGCTGCTGATGTGTTGGCCGCATATTGTTGTTACGGTCGTTGCTGTCAAATGGTCGCGGTTCTCCGCGATCATACGACGGCTTCGAAATGGCCCGTCCACGTTCAAGTCTTGCCTAGTTTTGCCAATGATCTTTAAACTTGCTCGGATTTATTGTGTGTCTCAGTCTTGGCCAATAAGGCGTCGATTCAGCCCAACTCCGTTCTATATCGAGGCTTTAGTACCGTAGCGTTATCCGTTGATATGTGACCTTGGTCCGACGCACGATATCGTCAAACAAACTTTCTGGAACGTCTACTTCCTCTTCAAGCTGCTTGGAGGGGATTCCAGTACTTTGACTTCATGGCCATACTTGTCTTGAGGGCCCTTTGTAATGACCAGAGCTAATTTGAGCTGCATGACAGGGCTGTATTATCCTTGTGAATCAAACTGCTATCGAGATGAACTCTCGAGGGATCTGGCAACGCCACCAGACGTTCAGAGATCGGCCACGTAAAATGATGTCCCAGCGGAACCCATCGTGAGGGTGCTTACAGAAGTTGAGTCGAAGACAACCCCAGGTTCAGTGGTTTTCTCGAGCCACTTCTTGATAAAATTGGGAGGATTTCTTAGGTCGACGCTCGTCAGCTTCCTCTGGGATGTAGTCATCAAAAATATCTCCGTCAGAGATTGATCATTTGCCCGGAAGGCAGGTCGCTCAGCTGTGTACGCTGGGTTCGTCACCAATGGCGGGGGACAAGGTTTCGTCTTATTATGACATTTCTGTCTTCAGCGCAGCCACCAAATAACGTCGATTGGAGACCAGGATCGGATGATTATGTTGCGCGGCTTGATGTCCGTGTGAAAAAAGGCCTTTTCCATGGAGATACTCCACAGCCTGTCTAACCTGGAGCATGGCTCCTCTTTGAGCCTTGAATTTCAATCCCGAGCTTGCTGTTCTCAAATTGTAGCTGCTGATAGGTGGTGAGCCATTGTCTTCGTGGTTGTAGATTTGTTAGCTCAATTCCCCGAGGTGAATAACCTCCCTGTTTTGCACCTTGGCTTGGTGCCGGAGAGTGAACGGGGTCTGGTGTGCCTGGGTCTCAGCCTTTCCATCTGATCAGATAGCCCGGGTGTATGCCCTGATGGTGTGCCTTCCATTGACGAGCGCTGTGGTGAAGGCACATAATCAGAGTTAGGGCCCTACCTCCGAGTCTATACATTCCTCGAGGAGGAGCCTGAAGATCCTTGCCTACAGTGCCTCTTGCAACAGCAAGCTCCTGCATCTGATGTCCCTTAGATAAAAGGCTCCGAATAGTAATATAGTTGAAATTAATATTTTTGCTGTTGTTGCCGGGCTCCCATCTCTAGCTGGAGCTTGCGTTACGCCAGACGTGAAGATCATAAGATCATATAGCAGAAATGACAACGTCTTTGTTGAGATTAGTCTTATTTTCGACGCCCGCAGCTGGCGAGATTGTGGCATCTTCATCGTCAAATATATCTGCTGCCTTGTGGAGAGGGACAACATCATTGTGGAGCTCTCTGCTTCCCTTCATGTATGTGACTCCATATATTGCTGTTGTCAGGTCGTTTTTGACATGAGGACTTATGAAAAGACCCGAACCTGGTGGACTATGTTCGCAGTATTCTAAGAAACAAGCCCGAGCATCTCTTGATGGCTCCTGGTAAGTGATGAAACACCTTGCGGCGAGAGAGGTGGTATCGGTTGACCCAGTCTCCGTCAACGTTCTGGAAGTGGTACCAGAAGTTCACGTGTTAGGAGCATAGCCTTCGTGATTGCTGCGAACGGCTTCTGCAAGGCACCGACGGTTGTATGCATGTTGGAGATTGCATAGTTGCGATCCAACTTCAAAAGGCAGCTGTAAATCTACCCTTGGCTGTTGCTCCAGGCGTGCCATGACTTCTGGTCATTTGGTAGTTGAACACTTCCTCTGATTGCCCCCCCCACTCCGGGGAAGGTAATTCTCGTCAATTTCGTAAGTTAGCCCCTCGATCGAATCCAACTCTTCTGTCGCACCGCGGCCAGGGGACGTGCAAAGTGAATGCCGGGGCTCAGAGTCATGGCATGGCGTGAATCAGGTTGTGGCGGCTGATTTTGCCCACGCCGCTGCAAATCAATGTAGACGGGCTTTTATACAAGATCCTGACCGCGAGGAGAGACTTGGCACTGCTACCATTTCTGTGAGTACTCGTAAACAAAAAAGAACCATTCTTATTCCTCTCGGTGGTACCGATCTTGACGTGGCCAGAGTCTTGGACACGCCCCTTGGCAACCCAGTAGTCAAGCTCATACTGGGATGTCTCACGCAGCTCACCGTAGCCTAGTCTGCCGATTATATAGCTACCGTCATAAATAGCCTGCTCATACATCGAGGCTGTGAGGGGATCTAGGCGCAGATGCTCCATGACGATGTTTCTGCGGCCGTCTCCATCTCCAAACCAAGATTCAGTTCATGATGTGCTGTTCATATGTATCAGTCTTGATAAGAATATTCATCTCTGGGAGCTTGTTCTTGAAGAGCTTATGCAAAGGCGTAAATGCACGCGTAAGGATCACAGCCGTCTGATATTGTGGCGGTCGTGTCGATCAGTCATGCCAAAATGCTTCCTCTGTTGTCGCTCCATCTGCTGGAAGCACTTGATGAATGCTCCCTCGTAGACAGTGTGTTGGAGCCGGCCGTATTCAGAGCCAAGTCCACCGATTCCAAATATTCGTAAGTGACTTCGAACATAGTTGGTTGTTAATACTTTGTTGTCGAGTTTCAGATGATCCAAGCCTTTGTGAATAGCATATCTTGACAAGTAAATTGTGCAGTATAGCGAAGGCGGGCCGGTGTAGCCTGGTACTTCTTCCCTGAACAGTCCATACACGTCACAGATCTCGTCTATTACTTGTCAGTGCTGTGTGTGATGATGATGTGCCTCATTACCAGTACAAATTATCGCCTTTCGCTACTGCAGAAGCATCTTCTCCTGTGAGTTGGGTAAGGCGCAAATGAGTTTGCCAATCACCCAGTACGTCGCCAACTGTAGAGAAGACGAAGCTGATGTATAGATCTCGCTGTCGGCTAGCTCGCGTGATGTTCGTTGTCAGAAGACTTGAGATTGAGATCCTCTTCGGCCTCAAACATCGTTGGTAGGAGCTATCGGAGCTCGAACGATCTTTCAAGTTGTCACTAGTTGTTTGACAACGGTACTCCTTGAGGCTCTCTTTGTGCTGGACAGGCATTCATGATTGGGGAGATAGATTGATCTGCCCATGAAACATAGCGACTCTGAGATCGAGCTGGGCCCTGCTGTTGGCCATGATAACCATTTCTCGCCTGTTGTCGATGATTCTCAATCCAGCGTTTCAAATCATGTTCTGACTTGAAATGGTTTCGAACAACGGCATGGTGCAGGGTGGCACAAAGTTGAAAACAAATTAAGAGCCCAAATGATAAGAAGGGTCAGCTTGTGTGGGCAGCTCCCAGCAAAGATGACCTTGTCCTTGGTCCCAGCACCACCCCCTTTCCCTTTTTTCCTTTTCCTTTTCCCTTTTTTTTTGTTTATTATTTTTTATTGTCTTCTCTCACTATCAAGATTTCAATTTCTTTTGGTAATACTTTGCGTGGCGTGGGTAAAGAGCGTGATTATCTCACTGCTGTCGAGCTGGCTGATTGATTGATGGGCATTGCAGATGGGGGCTTGTTGGCTGCTCGGGGGGAAATCTGCAGCCGGTCGTTTGGCGGCGTATATGCTGTAGCAGAAGACAACGAATCCGCCGTGTAAGAGGGTACGCCGCCGAATAGTATTTAGGCCAGGCCGATAGAGACTTGCTGCGTTCCACACTTGTCCGAATTGTGTTCTGCAGGTGTTCGTTTCGCAGATCTCGTTCATAATACTAGTCTTGGGCCGGAATCTCCACCTAAGGAGCATTCCTTTCATCCTCTATTAGAAGAGAAACAGTATGAGGCCGATCAATACAGTCCCACACAATGCCAGCCCTTCTTGGACTATTTTGTGTAATCCTAGATCTACTGGGATCTGTCGTCTTGTACTGTCCCTGAGGGGAGGGGAGGAAGCGTCCAGCTTGTATGGAACTCTTGAGAAACGACTGTCATCAGCCACAGGAAAGGTGGAAGGCAAGGCCGTGGGGATACTTGTAGTTGAGCCCACACGCCTTCCAGAGAGTCAGGCTTAGATCATGACGGACGGTAAGCTTATCCATTGGCGTGACGGTAATGGTGGCCCAGTTTCAGGTGTGCAAGGTTTGGAGGCCATGTCATTTGTGTTTCAGTGATTGGGAATAGGGGATATCAACCCGGAGCAAGATCCTGAAAAGAAAAGGCATGGGTGCTTATGGATCCATTGGCATATTCTCGATGGCGATAGGAGAAATGCTGATCAGACCCTCACTGCGAGTCAAGTCTTGCCAAACCATTGACTCTTCGACTTGAGTTCCGTCGATGTGAAGTGATTGATAATCCAGCTTCAATGGACGCTGCCCCAAAGTCGGCATCTCCTCTTGATCTTCGGGCCCCTTGTCATCAACGAGCAGAATGCAGCGGAATTGAGTGACGGGGCCCTATGTCGAATGATGATATTCTGGATCCATATTTGGTGTTGGATACTGTGCCAATAAGTTGCGCAGCATTTCATGTGGGCGAACAATGTCTCCTCGCGCGCAAGGGTATACGCGGCGTGGCAACTGGGTCGATTTCGATTTCGTCCTTCTGTTAGTTTCTAGTTAGATGAAACAACTCATGATTCCTTGATTTGAGCGTTGGCCGGGTTTCTTGCGTTGCTTATAAGCCTCTTCTTGATCATGTTCCTTTTGCTTCAGCTCTTGCTCAAGACCAGGCTCGGCTTTCCGGCGTCTCTCAGCCTCTTCTTCCTCACGTTGCCTTTGCTTCAAAATGAGGAAAACCTCAACGCTTTCATGCTGAAGAATGTTCAGGCCCTGTAGCGCAAACTAATCGCGCTTCAGCTTGGTCTCATATTCCACAGCAGTCTGCATGTGGTGTCGAATGTGATCATAACAATGAAGCAGTAAGCAGACTGAGGTCGAAATCGACCCAGTGAGAGCCGTTAAGACGATAGCATTTTGTCGTCTCGGAAATTGCAATGGCCTCAACGATTATGGAAAACTCATTGAGATTGATGACGTACCTTTCGTTCTAGGAGATTTGTTCTTGGTATTTTCGTGAACGAAAGATATTCCTATTATACATCTCCATTGATTTTTAAAGCACCGAGCCGACTGACGACTGTTGGAGCGGGGTTTCAGACTTCCAGGTCATCGCCGATGTTGATGGCATTTTGCTGGTTCGCAGCCTTCTCGGCCGCTTTACGAGCTGCCATCTTTGCTTTTCAGACAGCTTCGCGAGCTTAGAATTGCCGTCAATTCTATGTCTGGTTCAAGTGACTTCTCGGGTCTATTAGGATGCATGGCTGAGGGTGCTCGTCCAAGGGTAGCTTGATATTGCGTCTCTGGAACGCATAGAGTAGTTCGAGAGCTGACGGTTTCTGTGGTGTTAGGCGTCGCATTTCTCTATCCTTCATCAGAGTCGGATGGAGGATCAGGTTTGTGAATTGGATATACACGCAGAGACTCAGCCGCGATAGTTGTGTAGCAAGAAGACTTGCAGAGGACTCATTCCTGTCCCACTCATCTCTCGTCTGGTTCATTCTCCCTGCCAGTATTGCTTTGCTCAGCTTTGAGTCGGTGATGTTGTAAATGGTAGTGATGAAAGCCCTGAGCTTGAGCTAGGGCCTATGCTGAGAGGACGGTCCTGACCAGAAGAGCCCGCAGCAGATTGTGAAGAAGCGTGCTCTGAGCTCAAGCTTGCAGGCTGATTCTGGTCTGAAGCATTAGCTTGTAAGTTAGCTGCACCTTGACGGGCGTTAAGCTTGATCAGTCCCCTTCTTAGAATGCAGGTTGGACAATGTAGAAGACTCTCGTGGGCGAGGAGTGGTGCCAAGTCCCAATGAAAACCAAGTATGACTATGGGCCACTAATAAACCAACATCTAGAGACGTCCTTGAGACAAGAAATGAGCTAGGTGCTGGATTTGTTGGGCAGCCTTGAGGATCCAACGTCCGCCCCTGAGCTGGGGTTCTGAGCAGATGCTGTAGTCATGATGAGGTTTAGGTCAATCTCGGACGTCTTCCGCTTTTTGGGGAAGGGAACCGGTCGACGATATACCTATATCATGAATTTCGGCATGCAGCTTGGCGATTGCCGTTTGTCTTGGTCGACAGAGGGACAGAGCCGATGATCACCTCCTCGAACAGACTCTGCCCGAACTCGGGTACCGTTCGGTCTGAACCACCGGTTGGATCTCTTGGGACTCCAGGGCCTCGTTGCTGTCTTTGGGGATCCGACTACCGATCTCGTCGTCACTATATCGGCGTGCTGCCTGTGTCATTTGCAGGACATGACTGACAGTCGGCGATCGCTGTCGCTTTCTGCTAGGGCCTCGTTTCTTTGGAGGCATGGTGAGAGAATGTGTTCTGAGGTTGAATTGTTGACTGCATGTAAGAATCAACCGGGCAAAAAGTTCTCTGCGGTTTCTTTATTGAAAACCACTTTGGGAACTGTGTTGTGAGAGTCCATAGGTTGCTTCCTTTCTCGGGCCAACTGCGGTATCTTGCGGACAAGCTCATAAATAAATTTGTTGACATGCCTCTGAGACATGCTTGCCATGGCTTACCATTGCTAGTTAACTTGGCTTGGCTTTTGAACTGTTCACTGCCGCACCATTTCCAGTAGACTGTCGCTCTCAGGCGATTGCTCGCCGTCCTCACGCTCTGCACATGAGATCTTCGATCTCTGCGTCTCTCATCATGTCGCCTTCTACTTGCAAAGACAGAACCCAGGGCAGAAGAAACGATGAGTGGAGAGGGCAAAGACTTCGGCTCAGTCGGACCTACAAGTGAAGCATTAGTGATGGATCGAAGCTATACAGTTAGGCTCACTTACCAGAGGCACTAGCAGTGTCTTGGAACACAACAAGACAAGATTCTTCATGAAGAGCCTCTTCTTGAAGGAAGTAACGGTCGAAGAACAGTGCAGCTAGAACTCGGCATACTTCAGTATTTGAGATAGCAGAACTGCCAATTTCATCACGTCGAAGAATGTGAGCGGCACTAGTTAGTGGCTCTGCAGAAAGCTAAATCTCGAACATTGTAAGTGTAAACCGCTTTCCCAGACCTGTATAATGTATACGGGAGAAGGCACACATGAAGAGTTGAAGCCAGGCCAGTTGACGTTGATACGCATATGGCCTGTGAGACGAAACCCTGGAAATTACAGAGGGGCCAAGTGTGTTTAGGGCTCTATTCTTCTCCGTCATCAGACAGTAGTAACAGGAGAAGAGGCATGTCCAGAACGAGCCCCAGATTCCATCTCGCTTGCGTGCTAT